AAGATATACCTGATCTCAGCCTTTCCCAAGACTTTTAAATCAGAAAAATATTCTTGCATCTCTTTTGATGTAAGAGAAGTCAAATGATGATCATCTAATCGGATCTAAAGGATCAAAGTTTATGGGCATTACCCTATTTGTTGTAGCCAGACAAAGGAGAGGATCTTCGGTATTAACGAAGTCTTTAATAGAGATTTCTGTAAATACACCGTCTTCAGAATAACCTTCAGCTTTTCTAAAGGGGTAATGCAAGGTTAATCTAACTTTTTGAAATCCTTAGTATTGAGAAATTTGGATACAAGAGCATTCCGATCAAGAGGAATCTCAGGTTCACTAAATACATGTTTTGGATCCAAAAATTTTGGATCGATTCTATCTGGAGCAATATAATCTTGTCCAATCAAAAATATCTCCGCAGACTCAAGACGAGAGGCTTCAGGCTTGGCCACGTGCACCTTCCGGAAGAAATTCATAAGAATCCACTTGAACGCTTCATAGTCCTTACTTCTAAATATCTTTGTAATAAACCAGCCCCCTCTATTAAGAAATTCAGTGGCCAGTGAGAAAGCCTGTAAGCTAAGTTGAGCTGGGAATTAGCTATGATAAAAGATACCTTGGGAGTACTCGTCGATACTCCAAGCGGTTCCAACGTTAGGAGATCCATCGTGAAGAATAACGTCAGCCCTGGTTTTTAGCAAAGAACTTCTAATTAACTTTACAACAATAAATATCCTAGACGTACAGCTCTGCATTTATCTGAAGTAATGTCGGCAATAAAGGTTTCGACTCGTGGGATGGCTTGTATAGGAACTAGATCTACTCCAATAATCTTTCCTGAAACAGGCAATTCTTTGCTGGCCACTTGAAGCCATCCACCCGGGGCAGCGCAAAGATCAATCAACACTGCAGCATTATTTAAGAACTGATGTTTTCTATTTAATTGGATTAACTTAAAGGCAGCACGACTACGATAGCCTATAAATAAATATAAATTTGGTTGTTATTATACCTGTTTCTTTCGCCAAAAAGTAAAATTTATCTCGACGGGATTTCCCGACCTTCTTTCGCATGATGCAGAAACGTGGTGAATCTAAAGTTGCGGCAAAATAGTAGTGACCAAATTAACTTGCATATAGGTAATAAAAATACATTAAAATAAAAATCTACAAATAAAAAAAGGTAGCAAGTTGTTTTACCGATTGCTTGTCTTTAATATCATTGTAATTTTTTAATAAAATTAAAAATATTACCTTGCTCTAGTCGACTTGTTTTTGGCATTCCCTGATAATCTCATAATATGCTTATGCAATAAGCAAAGTTTTCGCTAATGCTGCATTCTTCAAGTATCTTGTGCTTTAAAGTCTTTTTAGTTAAGATATCGATGAATTCTCGGAACTTGTGCTTTCTTTTATTTTCCTTATATACTTATATTTATCTATCTGAGAGTGTCTTCTTCTATGGAGATAATCTAGATATCTATGTCGCATTAGTCTGATTGTTACAAAAGCTGATAAGAACTAGGATGTTCCTCATGGCCATGCTGAATTATTTATTTAATGTGATTGGTTCCGTTGCTTAAAAGGGACACTTGTGCATCCAAGA